GGGGTTCTAGTGGTGGAGGAGGAGGTGAAGGTGAAGGAGGAGGAGGAGGAGGAGGAGGAGGAGAAGGAGAAGGAGGAGGAGGAGGAGGGGAGGGGGGGGGAGGAGGAGCAGCTGATTGTCTACTGCAGATCTTGGAGGCTCTGACTTACCTTCACACCACGAGGAGGATCATCCATCGAGATGTCAAACCCTCAAACGTGCTGGTGAACTCCAGGTGGGGAAGGCAGAGAAAAGATCGGAAGGAAACGGGGAGAGGCACCAGGAGTGCGGCTGAGAAAGAAGAGGAGGGGCGAAGATGGGATGAATATGATTATCATGATGATTATGATGATGGAGATGGAGATGGAGATGGAGATGGAGGTGGAGAAGAGGAAGAAGTTGTTTGTGATGCTGGAGGAGATGATGATGACGAGGGGATGATGTTGATTGTGACGACACTTCGCTTCAGAGGTTCTTTCAAACTCGGGGACTTTGGCATGTCCAAGGAGCTTTCCAACACTCTCAGTGCTGGGCAGACTTGGGTTGGAACAAGCTCCTACATGTCTCCAGGTCCTCTTCATCCCCTCATCCCCCCACATACCACTTCTCGTTCAATCAACCCCCCTCCCCCTTCCTTGTCTTCTCGACCTCATCCTCTTCGTGCTCGTCCGTCTCCTCTCTCCTCTCCCCTTTCCTTCCCTCTCCTCCCTTCCCCTCTTTTCTTCTCTTCTCTTCTCTCCTCTCCTCTCATCGGTTCTCTCAGAGCGAGTCTCCGGCCTCGACTACTCCTACAACGCTGACGTGTGGGGACTGGGCATTCTCGTCTACGAGAGCTGCTCCGGTCAGCCAGCTTATGCGGGATCCACCTTCGAGCTGCTGGACGAGATCGTCGATGGCGAACCCCCAGCGCTAACAGCTGAAGCCTTCAGCGAGGAGGTGAGGAGAGGGGAGGAGGAGGATGAGGATGAGGAGGAGGAGAGGAAGGAGAGGAAGGAAAGGGAGGAAATGAGTAGAGCAGGAGGACGTGGAGGGGGACGAGGTCATGTCAGTGGTGCCGGTGGCTGATCGTCAGGACGGCAGGCTGTCAACTTTGTGCGGGTCTGCTTGGAGAAAGATCACAAGAAACGTCCAGATTGCCCGCTCCTCTCCTCTCAGCCCTTCATCCTCCTCCATGCCAAGTACAACATCACCGAATGGCTCGCCTCCCTCTGAGAGCTCCTCCTGCTCCTCCTCTTCGCCTTCCTCCTCTCCTCCTTCCCTTCCTCCTCTCCTCTCCTCCTCTTCTCCTCTTCCTCTTATCAGCCTGCAGTAACTCGACGAGCAGAGGAGAGTTTCGTTGAGATGTAAGAATACACGAGCACCTAAAGCTTCAGCTTCCCCTCGAGATCGCAGAAAGCAGATACTTCCTCTGGCTGCCCAGCCCCATCCTGCTTGTCCGTTAGCTCGTCCATGAGCTGGTCAGGCGAGGGAGAAGTGGGAGAGGAGGAGGAGAGGAAAAGAAGGAAGACCGAGTGTAAGCAAGATGTAGGAGGTTTGAAGTTGAGGTGAGAAGGACGGAGAGCGAGGAGCTGGGGGGCGGGAAGGAGGAGAAGAGGAGGATGAGAAGGAAGAAAACAGCTGATGGAGGGACCTGGGCGTGTTCTCCTCGCTTCTCTGTAAATGTCGCAGAACTTCTTGGTCCACGTCCCCGATGATCTTGACGACCTTCACACACCTTCACTGCCCGTTCCTCCTCCTCCTTCTCCTCCTCCTCCTCCTCCTCCTCCTCCTGCACAACCAACCCATCCTTCCCCCTCCTGTCCTGCTCTCTTGATTTTCTTTCTCCTTCTCCTTCTCCTTCTCCTTCTCCCCCTCGTCCTCGACCTCTTTCTCGTCTTCTCCCCTCCAGATCACCTGCATGCTGATGAAGGCTGGTCGCGTCCACGGCTGCTCAATCTCCAGGTGAATCCACCCTCGCAGGAGACAGGAGGAGGAGGCGCTCGCTCTCCGCTCCTCCGCCCTCCCCGACGTGCTCGGGTCCTCCTGGGCGTCGCCCGATGTGTGAGGATCATGCTGGGAGAAGCTCTCAGGCGGACTGGAAAATGTACGGAGATAGAGAGGAGGAGGAGAGGAGAAGAGCAGGTAGGAGATGATGAGGAGGAGAGGAGGAGGAGGAGGAGGAGGAGGAGAGGAGAGGAGGGGAAGAGGAAAAAGATGAAGAGAGGAGAAGAGGCGAAGAGGAGGATGGTAGAGACGAGAGGAGCAGGAGGGTAAAAGTATCACTTCGTCATCTAGTATGTCTTCAGTGTAGATCACATCGCGCACGAAGAGGCGGAGGAGGCGACATGAGCCGTCAGGATAGGTGACGCCGATGCCAAGACCTGAGTAAGAGATTGAGAGGAGGAGGAGCAGGGAGAAGAAGACAAGGAAAGGATAGGGAGGAGGAGGAGGAGGAGGAGGAGGAGGAGAAGACAAGGAAAGGATAGGGAGGAGGAGGAGGAGGAGGGGGGGGACCTTCTTGATCTGGTTTGACACCCTTGAGGGAGATCTCGATGGCGAACTTGTGGGGAAGTCTGAGCGATACAAGTGAGTCGAGGAAGAAGACAAAAAAACGGAAGAGAAGAGGAAGAGGATGGAGATGATGGAGAGGATGATGATGATGATGATGATGATGACGACGACGACGACGACGACGACGACGATGATGATGGAGATGATGGAGGAGATGATGATGATGATGATGATGATGATGATGATGATGATGATGATGGAGGAGATGATGATGATGAAGATGGAGATGGAGATGATTGATGATGATGATGATTATGATGATGACGATGATGATGATATTTGTGGTGGAAGGGATGTGGTTGCCTAGGACGAGGCCTAGAGCATGAGGAAACAGAGGGAGAAGGATCGCAATGGTCGACCT